CGCCAACCCCGAGATATACGCGGACTACATGGAAAAGGATGGCTAACTCTATCGCCACATCCCGTGTCGATCCCAGGATGAAGAGGCTGTACCCTGGAAGCTATGGGGCCTAAACTCCTCCGCCTAAGAGTCCTGCAAGTAAACCACGACATACCTAGCGCCGGATGCATGGGTATACGTCGCACAGTAGCCCGGGTGGCCAACCGATATTACTAGCCAGGGATGTTCCGTAACATTAGCCGTTACGTACGTTAGTATGAGTCCTGCCCGAAATACAAGGAAGGACAGCAGAAACATCCGCGGAGGTACAGCTTCCACCTGAAGGCATTAAAATATCCATTACCGACGCAAACGGAAAAGGACTAGAGGCCGTCCCACAGATCGCTGAATGAGTCAGAAAGAGCCTCACTGACTTCACGACCGGCCCAGGGAAGCACCGGCTTAAATTTAGTACCGCCAAATACCAAGTGGCCATATATCGGTGGGGCGTACATACTAAAATGAAGCCAACAACAACTGCTAAACCCTACTAGAGAGAAAACAAGGAAAATTGCAAATTGATAATTTATTGGAAAAAAGAATTTTAAAAACAACATGAAAGAAAACTATGAAATTGAAAAGAAGAGCTAAAACAAACAATTGGTAGATCAGAAATACAAAAATATTATTTTAGAAGCTATACTTAAATTAAGAAAGAAAAAAAAGCTAAGAATTTCTAAGTTAATGTAATTGAAGCAAGATTTAAAAAAAGGGTGTAAATTACCAAGAAAAATTTATAATTAAGCATGAAAAAAAAGGATTCTGTTAATGTAGTTTAAGTTTTAAGAAAATTTATAGAAAATAAATATTGTAAATTGGTTTAAATTTTGCATGTCATCTGAGGCAAAACTCACCGAAGTAGGGGGGAGTGTGCAAACTAAATATCCATGTGATGACCGAAAGTTAAGGGTTGAGTCGGTCAGAGATTGGTACTGCAGATGGACGAAATTTGATCATTGCCAAACTCACAAATCGGCGTTAATCGAAAACTTATAAAGTGCTATAACTAAGCCGCAAATTAAGACACAAACTATAATTTGGTTAAGTTTCGGGATAGAATATAACTTTCGTGTTATTAGAATTTTCACAAATCCATACAGATTTTGGTTTAAACCCATCGAAAACGAAAGACAAAATCACAATCATTAAAAGAAAAATAATTTACGGGCGATCTGAAATCGGGAAAAGGAAGGTAAAGGTGTAGTTGAATTTTCAAGGGTTAAAAAAGCTAAGGTAGAAGAAAGTTGTATGACTATATTGTTGATAATAAAAAGAGCTATAACTTTTGTATAAAGGTTGTATGTACCTCAAAAATGAAAATTTATATGACCAAATTTTTTGGTTTTTTATTTTTATCTTGTACAAAAGTTGTATTTCTTTCACGAAATTTGGTGTAAATTTACCTTCTAATATCCCAAACACATTGTATTTTTTTAATTTAAAATATATTTTTTCCATATATTGGCCTAATATCGGAAAAAACCTTTTTTTCACGCCAAAATTTCTATTTATATTTTTAAAGTGAGTATGCTCTATGATTACTGAAATCTGATGATCTTTTTTCTGATGAGCTGAAAAACAATTCAAAGCTGATTTTCTTCATTTCATCTACCTATTATTTCGTAGTAGTAGATGTACAAAAGCAGGATTCAATCATTTAATGGGACTGATAACTTTTTTCTATTGGACTCGAAGTTTTGCCGAAAATCGATATAAACCGTTTTTAACAGATTGATTTCATGCTACTATAATTTTTTGGTTTTCAAAAACTATATACCCTGGTCTGTATGCCATTCATAAGGGGTTCATCTTTCTATTCAATTGATTAACAGATAAAGAAAATATTGACAGAATTGTCAATGTTTTCCGAATGCTGCCGAATGGTGTCCAGATACGTAGCCATAGGTCCTCAACCAGAATTAAAGAAGCTAATATTGCAATCATATTCATTGGCATTATTTGTTGAATCTTCACCATGGAACACCAATAAATGGACATTTATGTTGTCAATATGGTTAAATAGGTGTGAACTGCTCAACAACAGGAGCAAATCAAAACACCAAATGTAGAAACTGCAATCGCAAGCATCCATTACATACTATATTTCCACATTTGCCCTATGAAGTTACAAAATCATAGGATTATAAGCAATTTTGAAACGATGCTATTTCTTCTTTTAGAATAATTTTGAATTTTAAAGAGGTTAATCCCAAAGCTTGCTAGTGATCAAAATACGTATTTCTTCTACTGTTAGACAGCAAATGTTCAAAATGATTTAAATTGGAAATGTCTTCAGAGAACGTATATTATAGAGAAGGTTCAATTGCGGACCAGCGTGTGAATTGTCAAAATCTAACAAGATTTTAATAGTAAATTTCCTTTCAGCAGCTCGGAAGGAGAAATTTTAACAGTGGCGAGTGAACAGAGCTGAGCATTGTATGAAAATTATGCTCAGAGACTTGCTAAGATGAAGCATGTTACTCTTTTGGCTTCTATTTTTATACGCGTATATGCAATCATATTTATTGATATGAATATCTTTTTGCGAATTTTTATGAATGCATGCAAAACTGCTAAGACTCTAATTAAATTATGTAATTTTCAAAATAATATTTATAGTCAATTTGGGCATTTAATAATATTATATAGTTTTTGCATAATATATGTACTTTCCTAATAAATATTTTGTATTATAATAATAGATATTAAATTTATTACAATATATGTATATGTACATATGTACATTTTTTATCATATAATCATATGTACAAGTATATCTACACAAGCGCATTTGAATATACGCATTCAGAAATTCAAATCATGATTTTATCACTTATCAATACACTATATGTGCGCTCATTGATTTATATGTACACGCATATATGAGTATATAAAATTGTCGAACAAACAATGCATACACAAACCAAACTACATTTTTTTTTTTTTTTGTTATGGATACGCCAAAGGTCGGTGTAAATCTGCGAAAGATATTGATGGCCCGTACGATATTATGCCGCATACTGTATCACAGCCAATTTGGGAGGATAGCATATGACGCACAACATCAGTGGAACGTATTGGTAGAGGGTTCCCTAGTTTCAGATAGTATTCGTCTTTCGTTTCGGAAACGGACACATTTTACCACGAGGTGATCTGGCGTTTCAATGTAATTTTCACAGTATATGCAGTAAGGTGTTTAAACGTTCTTGTATTTATATAGATATGCTCTGAAGCAGCCGTGGCCAGATAAAAACTGTGTGAAGTAATAATTCACCTCGACGTGTTCGCGCATAATCCACTCTTGAATATTGGGTATCAAGGAGTGGGTCCACCTTCTTTTACTTGACGCATTCCACCTTTTCTGCCATTGAGCGAGGTACTTCTCGTCGATTTTTCCAAGTTCTTGAGCATACTGGTTGGATCCTACTATTTTTACTGTGTCCGGCATCGCTACTCTTAGAACTCAGTCATACATTATGTTCCACAAGACAGGACCAAGAACTGACCCCTGTGGTACACCGCCAGTAACTTTGTATGTTTCGGGGACGTGATCGGTATCGTAAACCAGAACTCTGTCTTTGAAATAGCTTTTCACAATTCGACAAAGGTAATCCGGGACCTTTAGCTCTTTCATGGCTCTTATAATTAGCGTCCATTTGGCCGAGTTGAAGGTGTTCTTTATTTCGAGGGTAATAAAAACGCAGTATTGCTTATCACCCCATCGCCATCTACTGCCTTCCAGTGCTTTTTTTGGTAGTTTTGTGACAGTGTCTATGGCATCCACGGTGCTTCGTCCTCTCCGGAAACCAAACTGGATTGGGTTCAATCCACAGTCTCCTTCAGTGTATTTCTTAAGCCGTTTACATATTATGGTTTCCAGGACCTTTCCTGCCGTATTAAGCATGCAGAGAGGGCGATACGATTAGGGTTCTTTCGGAGGTTTGTCAATCTTTGGGAGAAGAACTAGCCGTTGCCGCTTACAGTCTTGGGGAAAAATCCCTTCCCTCAAACAACTTGCATACGCTCGACGAAACAGTTCGGGGTTTTTTTTTTGTGACGTGCTTGATAACGAAATTGGGTATTCCGTCCAGGCCAGGTGCTTTTCCTATCTTTATTCTTGTCACAGCATGTTTCAGTTCCTCATGGGACACCTCCGGGATTTCATCCATGCTTATACGAAAAACTGGCACTCGCATAAGTTCTAATCTTGGAAACAGGGCAATAACTATCTCACGCAGGATGATGGGAGATATAGGGGGTCTTCTTGATCTTCCCAGTTTCTTCATCACGATCTGACAAGCTTTTCCCCAAGGGTCATTTTCTACTTGTAACAGGAGCAGGTTCTTTGCGCTTTTTCCGGAAGTTGACAAGGAGTTCCTCAAAGTCGCGTGTTCCTCTAGCCCGTTGTTGCCTATGTCAAAACCTGAAGCATTCTGCTCTCAGCTGGGCGATTGCTTCGGCCCACCAGTACGAAGGTGCTTTGTTTACCCTGTTTTTCCTTCGTGGCATTGCGGCATAGCAAACCATTGTAAGTGATTTCGTTACGTTCTTCGTTTGGCTCTGTGCATCACTTCGTGTGTCTTCATTGATTTGCCCAATAGCATATTCAAGCATTTCTAGATCGCAAGCTTTTATCTTCCATCGTTTTGTTATATTTTTGGGCATCGTACTTTGCCTATATCGCGAATTTATATCGAACGTTATGGCTTGGTGGTCACTATGAGTATATATTTCGGAGACTTTCCATGATGTCTGTGAAACTATCGATGAACTTACAAAGGTGAGGTCAATCTAAGACGAGGCCCTGCCTTTAATAAAAGTTGGTATGCGTCCGTTGTTAAGAAGTACTAGGTCGATGATGATAGTAGGGCTGTACCCCTCACATTTGTGATTGTACTTCCCCATTCGACCACCCATACATTAAAATCGGCAGCTAGCACTGGCGGTAACTTACCACTTACGTGCGTTGTAAGCTTGAAGAGCATGTCCTGAAATTGCGAAACATGCCATTATCTTGACTTTTGGGATCTTCTTCAAATGGTAGATTGTTAAAGTCCATATCGCGGATTTGAGCTTTTGTCTTCAGTCCAGTTACTGTCACTACCTGAGGTTTTGTACTGTTCTCTGAGTAGTAGTACGTCTGTGTTGAGATTTGATGCGGTTTTTGTCAGTAGTGCTTGGGCTGCTGAGCAGTGGTTCAGGTTCAGTTGAAGGCACCTAATCATTTGCCTGAGATTTTCCAACAGCCTTTTTGTATGCTGGGCAGCTGTAACTACCAGCCGGGTGCTTATTTTCACCTAGTGGGCATAGCACACACAAAAGTTCTTTAATACAACCTTTTGTGGTGTGACTTTTTTCTCCGCATCGGAAAGACGAGCCAGTAAGATCTCTAGTGCTTTTACAGTTGCGTAGTGTATGACCAAACTTGAGAGATTTGAAGCAGCGGACTGGTGTGGCGACTTCTTGGATTCGACAATTGTCCCAGCCTATCCTTATTTTATTTGCATTAAGGAGTTTATTCGAGACTGTTACGGGAAGACTAATAAGTGCTACTTGCGTTTCGTCATTGAGGCGACGCATAGATTTAATGGCACTGCTTTCTATACTGTCATCATCGGGCAGTTTCTCATTTATTGCTTTTCAGACTTCTTCGACTGACGTTGCCTCATCCAAATCTCTGATCTCTAGTGTAACCGCGTGCACTAGGACTCTGACTACTGCCATATCTTTTAGGACCTCTAAAGTTCGCTATCTAAGTTTACCGGATGACTCTGACTTCCGTTTAGCTTTAATTTTAAGCAACAGTTCACTCTTCACTGTTCTTCCTGCTTTGCTCAGGCTGTCTCCGAGGTCTTGTAATCTGGGGTATGACTTCATTTTTTTTAACATATCTGCATAAGATGCGTCGCTTGTCTTTGAAATCACCAAAGCTTCAGAGCGCTTGCCCTTTAGTTTGGGGTCTTTGGTTCGGTATTCTTAGGTTCAGCCTTACTTTTCTTGGTCTTACTTTTATTGCTGACCAGTAGCCATTCAGGTTCTTCAACTTGTGAGGGAGCGATATCTTTAATTTCGCAGGTTGTTCGGTTGTTAGGCGTTTGTGCTATTAGCTTTTTGACAACATTGGGTCGTCTCTTGCTGTTCGAGGTTTCCTTGTTATTCTCGAATTTTCTCTTGCCCTGCATCGCAATCATGAGCCATGGCGTGGTTTGTGACATGTTTTCCTTCAGTTCACATTTCTTAGGCTTGGCTCGTTCAGAGGCAGCTAATTCGTATAGTGCGGTTATCCGTCTGATTGTGTCTGTCATGGCTTGGTAGATAGATCGTCTTTTCCCATCCTCAAGCATGGCTACCAGGTTTCCTATTTGTTCGCCAAGTTGGTAGAAACCTAGTATATTACCTCCAATATCGTTCCTTCTGACTAAAGGTGTCGCACTCTCCAATGTATCTTGCTCGACGCTAACAGATATACTGTTTTCGCGTCTAGTATGTAGTGGAGGCGTCCTCATTATTGTTGAGCTTCTCCTAAAAGCTGTGTGCTCGTTTCCGTTTTCATGTTCGTTTTGTAGTTCCGTTGAGGTATTGATGCGTTTTGGTTCTGTTAAATTGTTCATGTTTATGTGATTAGGTCCCTCAGGGCCGCTATCTCCGCTCGCTATGTGCAATCGCTCTGTTGATCCCGTGATTATCTTTGCATTGCAGGGAGGTCACGCAAGGGTTGACGTAGGCCCTTATGGGTGCCTACATTCAGTGCCAGATCAGCGTTAATTGGGAGCATGCTCAACCGAAAATTGCAGCACCAACTCAATGGCGGCAAGCATTGAACATATCCTGAGGCCTTGACAGGGTTTTAGTGGGGACGGGGGGCATCCGTAGCATCAGCCGGCAAGCCATTTTAGCAAGATGTCACTCCGCTTACTGAAGTTGCCGAATACCACGTCTGTCAGCGCCAAAGCATTCATTTCCAGTAGGGTCTTACTGGGCTCAGACTCTGGCGTCCGTTTAGATAGGCATTTGCCATTTATGTCGCGCCCCTAAGACTTAATCCTAGCGCGTCGCGTTGCGTGGTGTTAACAGCCGCACCTAACTTGGTGAACAGAGGTTGGCCAGGAAGCCGCCCAATTGTGGGTCCGTCGCGCCTGAATTTTCAAACAGACACATATTTCTATGAGGCGGTGTCTATTTGCCACAGTCACAGGAGCTTCAGCGGATCTGCTAGCTTTATACCGCATTCTCTCCTTCTGTCGCTCATCGTCGGGGATTGCGTATTCGTTTTAACTTATTTCGCAACTGACCTGCTACTACAGGCCGTTCGGCTAAACAATGGTCACAAGTCTATATGTCCGCCAAATAGCCAAAGCCAAAATTTATAGTAAATTACACAACAACAACATTTTCATTCATGAACGCAGGCGTATTTTCAACAACCAATCTAGCTTTATTCATAAAAACACATATCCTCACATCTCGCCGAGCATGCGTTTGACTACAAGCGTCTTTTCGCGACGATGGCAAAAGCTTGAAATCATAAATTGAACAAATTTCTGTTCCCTCTAGAAGGGAAAAGTTGCAACCCGGAAATATGAGTATTAAAATATTTTAGAATAAAAGTGAAAACAAAGTATATTTGTCGGTTTATAATTCAAGAAACTTTTGAAAGAAAATTTTCAATATCCTTCTGTTTTATGTATACAGTAAACCCCGGTTAAGTAGCACTCTTCCAATCCCATTTATCTGCCTGTGTCTTGCTGCATCTCACTTTTTTTTTTAAATACACAGAAAAAATTTTTTTGGGTACCACTCGCTTGCGTACCACAGTCGGTTATGTACTACAAAGCACCATAAATCTGCATCTTTGATTTTGGAACTTAACCGGGATTGACTGTATTCGTCAAAGAACGTACGTATGTAAAAATTTGAATTTTTTGTACACACATCTGCTCGTATATATGGACATGACATGTTGACTTTGTTTCCATTTACGCATGCTTCGTTTTATATGAATAGGGGTTGATTTTGCACTTGCCCATATGCGATGTATTTTTGTAAGAGTGTGTAAGGTTCTGATTTCCCATGAAACAATGAGTGTACATATTTATATACATATGTTGCATGTAGACAAATTAAAAATTATAATGGGTATTTGCATATTTGTTTACATTCACACATAATTTACATATATATATATATGTTAAGCCAGAGGAGTACAAAATCAAAATTGAGGCAATACCGACTTCAACCCTTCAGCCCGCAATAATTTTTTAATTAAGTGTGGCATATACGTGGCTGAGCACGAAGGCATTGATTAAAAAAAAAATATTACGGTTTAATTTTGGAGCACGATTCGCGAGCCGCCCTGTATATGCCGAATGTCTTAAAATTATATGCAAAGTCGGTTGCGATTTAAAAAAAAACGAATCTGTAAGAGGACAGTTCTTAACATTGAAATTAGCACTACTTTTCTCATTTAACATTCAAAATGCTCAATTCTGCTATTTTGCGCTCGACAGGGGTAAAATTCTGGTGAAATCCGCTTATAATTTGCTTGTGGTGAAATCCTCTTAAGTTGGCGAGTAACCCTCCGTCAAGAGGACCATTTTGACAATCGGCACACCATGAACCTTCTCTATGATATACGTTCTCTGATGTCTTCTGTAGTTACAGTTGACTTTAAAAAATTTTGAGTTCCAGAAATTTTTTATTATGCTTTTTAAAATCTTGAGCAGACTACTAGAACAACTGCTAGAAAAATTTTACGAAAAGCTGGATATCATGGTAGAGTCGCTCGAAAGAAACCATATAATATATTTCACTTTTTAACAGGCGAAAGCCTATTGAATTTGCTCATAATTATATAAATAAGTCGCCGGAATTCTGGAGACAAGTAATATTTTCGGATGAAAGTAAATTTTGCATTTTTGGCATAAAAGGTCGACAAATTGTGTGGCGATAGTCAGGAGCTGCCCTTGAAAGCAAAACCTTGTTGGTAGAGTTAAACACGACGGTGGCGGAATTATGGTGTGGGGTTGCATGGCGGCTAGTGGTGTGGATCAGCTTGAATTTATTGAATCCACAATGGGTAAATGGGGTTATTTGAACAATTTAAAAAACAATTTGAAATAAAGTGCAGAGAATCTTGGATTATGTTCGACGTTTTGGTTCCAACAAGATAATGCCCCGAAGCATACTGCGGAAATATTTAGACTTTGGCTCTTGCACAATGCTCCTAGACAATTTGAAACGCCCCCTTAATCACCTGACCTCAATCCTATTGAGCATCTGTGGGATCTGTTGGAAAAAAGAATTCGTCAGCATACAATAACAAGTAAAGAGGCTTTGCGAAGTGTTATGAAAGAAGAATGGTCCCATATTACAGCTGAGGAAACAGATAAGTTGGTAAGATCAATGCCAAATCGATTGAGCGAGGTTTTAAAACAACGTGGGTATCCAACAAAATATTGAATTAAATATTTTTTTATAATTTTTAATACTTTTGTAACTAATTTTAAAGCTGAACGCAGACTTAATGGTGCCTATGTTTACTTCTCCTTAGACTAAAATCCCGTTATCACTAAAATGAAAATAGGAATATACATTTTTGTTTTTGCGTTTTGAACTTAAAAATATGAAGAAGAAATACATGTAGAAAATTTGAGCTGAATTACCTATTTATATTGTATTTTAACTTCACTTAAAAATAGTGTCGGGTGAACGCAGACTTTATTGGCTATGTGTATTTACACAAATAAGCAATTTAAGGTATGCCACCTTAACTCTATAAATTGTCAAAAACGGACCATGTAGTACATATAAGGATTTTTGTTATTCTAACAAACCTTATGCTGAATATGTCGGTCCGTGTACGACTTATATATTTATAAAGTTGTTTGAAAATTTGTTCTCGAGTATACCTGAGTAATAGTTAACGGTTAATACAAGAAGGCCTAGATCTTTTTCTGTCTCTAATATGACTTGTATATGTAGTGAT